AATTCGGCCCCCTTCTTCTTGCTCTCTCTCATTTACTGTTGTGCCTTTTCACCTTCTGCCATGGGATGATGCAACAGAAGGCCCTCATCAAATGTGGCTCCTCTGTCTTGGACTTCCCAGCCTCCAGAACCATACTGGTCTGTGATATTTGGTTATAGGAGCACAAAATGAACTATGACAACATCATTAAGAGGGTCATAAGGCAAACTACGGAGAGGAAGAAACTTGCACTACATAGCTGGCAAAGGATTTGTATTCATATATAATTTGTTATGTAATAATTGCTCATTCATTATTTATAATTCCTACAAATCACTAAAAATCCAGACAATTACAATATTAAACATGGGAAAATGATTTAATAAGCACTCTCCGAAATGACGAATAATCTTTTGAAATGATGCTACTGTCCTAGGTCACTAGGAAAATTCATACTAAAATTTCAATGCTCAGCCTAGGCAACATGGTGAAACCCTGTCTCTACTAAAAATACAAAAATTAGCCTGGTGTGGCGGTGTGCTCCTGTTGTCCCAGCTACTCCGAGGGCTGAAGCGGGAGGATTGCTTGAGCCTGGGAAGTTGAGGCTGCAGTGAGCTGAGATCATGCCACTGCACTACAATCTGAGTGAGAGAGAGAGATCCTGTGTCACAAAAATAAATAAATAAAATAAATAATAAATAAACAAACTCAATGCAGTTTTACTACAAGACTTCAGCTAAGACAATACCGAACATTGGCAAGTATATGGAGCCACTGGAACTATCAGAGATTGCTTATGAGTGTGTAAATTGGTACGAATTTGGAAAACTGGCAAGAAGTACTAAGTCTAAATGTATGCATGCCTTATGACCTAACAATTCCATTCCTGGGCATAATTACAGGAAGGAGAAATATGTACATATGTGTATCAAAAGACATCTACAAGAGTGATCATACAAAATTCTTCACAACATAGGTAAACTGGAAACAATTGAAACATCCATTGGCAGTAAAATGAATGATAAATTATAATATATTCCAATAATATACAGCTGTGAAAAATAAGGGAAGATATTACACATGGCAAAATAGTCAATATAGATTGTCATAAATCAGGTAATTGTACACATACATATGATCTATTGCTGTTTTCCATTTGTGTGCCAATTACATGATTTTAATTAATAATTTTATAAGTCTTGATATTTCTTGGTATAAGTTATCTAACTTGTTTTTCAAATTCCTCTAAACTCAGTGTTGAGTTTAAGAAGCCAGGTGTGAAAGAGTGCGTGCTGTATGATTTCACGTTGTATTGCATGATCTAGGTTGTGGTTACAGGGAAGTGATGGCGTCTGTCCATGAAACTGGACCTTTGAGTGTTGTATACTTTATTTGATCCTGGTACTTGTGATTCAAAATTTCACAACAATTTCCTGCTACCCTTTATGATTTGATGTGTGTAAGTAGAGATTGCAGATAATGTAGTTCTATACTGAGCTATGAATTTATCTTTATAGTGTAATTTTTTTTGTATTAAAAATCATTCCGAGTGACAGAAAATTTGGGAAATCAAAGTATTAACATTTATAAAACCATTCTGTTGTTTATAACATATTCTGGTCATGACTTTCAGAAGCACTGGTTTCTAGGGGGAGAGTATCAAAGAAAGACCTTGACTAAAGATAGCTCTTTCAAGTGGGAAGGGCATGATAGAGAATGGATCTTGAGGAGGGCAAGGCAGGAGATGCCTTCCGACTCAGCTGCATTAGCTCATGAAGCTGACAGCCCGCAGGCTTATAAATGTTGTGGGTAGATTGCCTTCACATCGGCCTTGCAATCATCTGCTACACTGACCACCAGTACCTTTCATGGTGGACATTCTGAGGTGTGACACTGTGTACTCTGCTGTTAGGAGGCTTTCTGGGAAGAAGGTCTTGCCAAGGATTTCTTGCACTCCCAGCCACCTGACTGGTTTAGTCTGAAATTTCAGTATTCCGGGCAGTATGAGAAAGGCCCTATCTGGTAACAAGGCATGAGAAAGATGACTAAGGGAACAAAGGGACAAGGTTTTTATTTTGTCCTTCACCCACAGATTGCCTTCAAAATACAGCGTCTGGCCTGGCGGGCTGGCTCACGCCTGGAATCCCAGCACTTTGGGAGGCCGAGGCGGGCGGATCACGAGGTCAGGAGATTGAGACCATCCTGGCTAACACGGTGAAACCCGGTCTCTACTAAAAAATACAAAAAATTAGCCGGGTGCAGTGGCGGCGCCTGTAGTCCCAGCTACTCCGGAGGCTGAGGCAGGAGAATGGCGTGAACCCGGGAGGCGGAACTTGCAGTGAGCTGAGATCGCGCCACTGCACTCCAGCCTGGACCACAGGCGAGACTCTGTCTCAAAACAAACAAACAAAAGATAAAAGCGTCTAAGCCTGCCAGTCCAGGTCTCTCTAAGCTGGCTCCACCCTACCCACCCACCTCATCCTGCACCTGTCACTGTGTGGGACCCTGTGCTCCAGGCAGGGGCCCTCACTGCCCCTTGAGCTCATTTTACCCCTCCTGGCTCTACAGCATTTCTGACCATTTCTACTCAGTCCAAGACTCACTGCTGCCCAGAGCAATCTCCCTTCTCTGCTTCTGGAGGGCAAGGGTTGTGTGTTGCCCGCCTTGTTTTGTCCACAGAGGTGAGCAGAGACTGACAGAGACAAACCTTTTTTCTTTCTAATTTTAGATTAAGGGGCACATGTGCAGGTTTGTTAAATTTGCCTGATGCTGAGGTTTGAGTTTCTATTGATCCCTCAGCTGAATACTGAACACAGTACCCAACAGACAGTTTTCAACCGTTACTCCCCTTCCTTTCTACCGCTATTTTGCAATCTCCAGTGTGATGCAGGCAAATTGCTTACTTTTATAGCTGTAATTAACCTTATTATAGTTCAGCCTCAACCCTTTAGAGAGGAGGAAACTAAAGCCCATGAGATATGCTTAAAAGATACTAAGTGAACATATTTATTTTTAAAAAAGTGTTAAAGTGATTAAACAACGTAAACGTGAATGAAATAAAAAGCGTAAGTTCCCCATCTTCATTCCCACTCCTTAGAGCTGATCAGTATTTTTACTTCCAGACGTTAGTGGAGCCGTAGAGAAAGAAACCTTTTCTCTCAAATAAGGCATTACTTCACACACTCCATTCTGCAACCTGTTTTGTTTTGTTTGTTTGTTTGAGACGGAGTCTCGCCCTGGCTCCCAGGCTGGAGTGCAGTGGCTCGATCTCGGCTCACTGCAAACTCCGCCTCCCGGGTTCACACCATTCTCCTGCCTCAGCCTCCCGAGTAGCTGGGAATACAGGTGCCCGCCACCACGCCCGGATAATTTGTTGTATTTTTAGTAGAGACAGAATTTCACCGTGTTTGCCAGGATGGTCTCGATCTCCTGATCTTGTGATCTGCCCGCCTTGGCCTCCCAAAGTGCTGGGATTACAGGCGTGAGCCACCGTTCTATTTGAAATAGCAACAAATAGAAATTGTTCACTTGCTATTTCACGTCAGCACAGGCAGATGACTTAAATTCAGATGGAGAAAAGCCTGGGGCATGTTCTTTGCACTACAGAGGCGCTGCAGGTGGCTGTGGGCAACCTATGCAGTGGCTTCGAGTAAACGAACGTAATTAGTAATTAAGCAAAGCGGGCATCCAGGACATTCTATTTCATCTTCCTGGCACTTTGGTGCTTAGTAAGGGCCTGGCCTCTTGGAGAGCGACACTCCTCGCCGGGCCTCTTTGTAAGAAGCATCGAGCCTGGAAAAGGGGCTGGGGTCAGCACCGGGGCCCTCTGGCGGGAAGAGAGACTGGCAGCCGGGACACGCGTCTCCCCGGGCTGAAATCGGGCACCCTCTCGCGGTCCTTCCCTCCCTTCCCAGGCTGGGTGGCTAGTCTTGGCTCTTCTGCGAGTCCCCCGCGGCTGCGGTCTCCCGGCACCCGCTGAGCAGCCTCCCCCGCCTTCCTCCCCAACCCGCCCCTCGGTGCTCTCCGGGGCTCTGGCTTCCTGGGTCTGGTGCCTGGTGCATATTTTGGAAAATAACTGGCTCACGACCACCTCATTTCGCTCCCAGTGTCCCAGGGGGCCAGCGCACACACACGGGGAGGTGACTTCCCTAAAGTTGCGTCCCCGAGGCCACCCTGGATCCCGGCGCCCGCTGCTCCGTGTGACCCCGCCGGAGCCAGGACGCGCCCCGCCTCCCGGGGCCTGGAGGTCGCGCAGGGAGCGAGCGCTGCGCGGCAGAGCTGGGATCCGAGCCGGGGGCGGATGCGCCTTCCTTTCCCCGCAGAGCAGGCTGCCCGCCCGCGGAACCCCGCACGTCAGAGCGGCCTCGCAGGACCCGCAGACCAGCCCCGCTGGGGCGCGCCGGGCTGCCGCGGTGACCGTTCCAACGCCCCCCGACGTCCCATCCCGAGGCGGCCCGAAGTGTCTGTCGCCGGCCTCCTCCCGGCCCAGCCTCCGGGCCTCGTGCAATCACCACGCCCCGGGGCCCGGAAACCGTTTTCCGGTGTTTCGCTTTCGGCTGGCGCGGAGCGCGGAGGCCGCGGTGCTGCGTAGCTCGGACCGGGCGCAGGAACAGCCCCGTGGCGCCCTCCCTGGCCGCCGCCCAGGCGGGAAACGTCGTTCCGGGGACCCGGCGACTCCGCAGCGGGGAGCGCGCCAGGCCCGCGAGGGGAAGGGGGCGGTGCGCGGCCGGCACCGCCTCTCATCGCGTCCCCGCGGGCCCGCACGCGCCCGGAGCTCACCCAGCGGTCGCCAGCCAGGGCGATGGCGGGCATCTGGCTGGGGCTCGTGTGGCAGAAGCTGCTGCTCTGGGGCGCGGCGAGTGCCGTGTCCCTGGCCGGCGCCAGTCTGGTCCTGAGCCTGCTGCAGAGGGTGGCAAGCTACGTGAGGAAATGGCAGCAGATGCGGCCCATCCCCACGGTGGCCCGCGCCTACCCACTGGTGGGCCACGCGCTGCTGATGAAGCGGGACGGGCGAGGTAAGGGCCGGCGCCCCTCCTGAAGCGCACCGGGGTCCGCAGCCCCGTCCCCACCCTCCGATCGGCCAGGAACCCGCTGCTTGTGGCGCTGGCCGCAGGAGAGAGGAGCCTGTCACCCTGTGGAGAATGCGCTCCCAGTTCTATTCGTTGCCCCTTGGCACCCGCCGACACGGCTAGTGTCTCATCCCAAAGTGAGCATTTTCTTTGTGTGTAGCACAGGATGCGGTATTTCCAAACCCCCGCGCTGAGTCTTTTCCCACCTCCCTGCTGCTCAGCTCTCCAAGCCCTGCCTTTCCTCCCGCCGTGGCTTGGGAAGCCTTAGGAACAGAAGCTCCCTGGGAGCGCAAAGCGCTTGTGAACTGGCCAACACCTTAACGCTTGGAGCTGCCCTCCTCTCGCTCCCACTTTGGAAAATAAGAGACTGGAGATTCATTGCAGGCTTCCTCCCAGCATCACAAGACTTGCCCGCTGCTTCAGTTCCCGCTTGACCTTCATATTTTAGCCCTCTAAAGGAGGTTACAAGTAACAGTTAAGAAACTGTGATTTAAAGGAGGTTACTAATAACTGTTAAGAAACTGTGATTTAAAGGAGGTTACAAATAACTGTTAAGAAACTGTGACTTAAAGGAGGTTACATAATAACAGTTTAGAAACTGACGACAGGGCCATCCGGCAGACTTCTTTGGAGGGTTTCCAACTCCTTGTTTATTAAAGAGTGAATTTTTTAATTAAAATCATGTTTTAAAACAGAGATGAACATTTTATTGATGGAAAAAAATCACTTGAAGTTGGAAAGCTCTCAAAAGTACCTGGTATTTACAGCCCCCCGTCAGGGAGGGTGAACTCGATCTCAGCGCTTCATTTTCATCAGGGGTTAAGTTGAGGTACCCAGAACTGAAAAGATTTGCCCAAAATGACATATTTTAAAATGGGCCCCGACCAGAACCCAGTTCCCTCTGGGTTTATTTGTTAGTAATTGTTTTACAGGCTGAGCATTAACTAACTCCAAAGCTTGAAGGACTTTTTCTCATTTTCACTTGTTTTCTCTAACAAAAATAACGCTGCCATTTCAGCTTCACAAGATGAGGCCTCATGGAAGAGTGTTTACCAGAATATTAAAAATATTTTGACAGAAAAGAATCAAGCGAACTCTTTGCCAACCAAATATCATCATGACTGATGTAACAAGTAATCCAGTCCAGATATGAAAATCACACTGGTAAAAATCATCTCAGTTAATTCTAAAAGCAGAGCTAACCACACCTTTTGTTCTAAGGCTTTACAGTATTAAAAAAAAATTGTACAAAAATATAGGGGTAAGTGTATCCCTTACCCCTGGAAATAATATATTTAAGTCTCATCATATTCTTTTGGGGATTCCAGTAATTAAAATCTCTGGTGAATAAGACCTGTTTCAAAACAACCTGTGAGCTGACTGGACTATTTAAAGTAATTTTCCTTGCGGTCACTTTCAGAGTGAAGACAATGACAAATACTGTCTTTTACAAAGGGACTTTTTATTCCACCAACCAATTCTGGATTTTGGCATCAGGAAAACCACTGTTCAATTTCCAACAGTATATCCAAGTTGTTTGAGAAATTATTTAAAACTCTTTAACTTAGAGGGTTTTTTCCGCCTTTACTTGTTAAAGTGACTGTATTACAGAGTTACTTTAAGGATTAAATTTATTGCTTGCAAAGTTGCTAGATCACTGTCTAGAAGTTGGTTAGAAGTTGGTTAGAATTGACAACTAAGTTCTTTAGTTGTCAATCAAGCATTTATTGAGGCCCTGCTTTGTGCCCAGTGTTGACCTCAACAAAGTTGGGGATACCAGAATATTCTAAGATATAGTCGTTGTTCTCAAGAATCCTGTCTTTCGTGTACAAGAGGTGTTGCCTTTCATTTCGTGGCTAATGTCCAAACGCTGGCCTCAGCCATTTCACCTTGAAGATTGCAGTTGGCTTCCAACTGGCCTCTAAACTCTAATCTAGCATTTTCCAGTCCATTATGACAATGTCTGCCTTCCCCAGCTACTCCCAACTGTGGGCCCTGCTGCCTTAGAATCACAGACTGAGACTTCCCTGTTCCCTCTGGTAGACCGGACCAGGGCAGGCAGTATGTTAGCATGACTCAGGATGATTGACACTGGTGATCTGACCCAGCTCCTTTCATACCACTTTTGACAGCTGCTTCATCTGACAGACATTTGGAAGTAGCATAGTGTGTGGGGAAGTTCTGGAGTATCGGTGCAAGCCAGGTTCCACCGTTTACTAGCTCTGTGATATTCGGCAGTCGTTAGAAAGAATGCCCATTCTGGGACATCAAAACCTAATAATTATTATTCTCTAATAGCTAACATGCATTATGTATGTTTATTTGCTGTGGCAAATACTATTTTGAAAAAAACTTTAGACTTACAGAAAAGTTGCAATATTACAGACAGTTCACACATGCTCTCTACCTGGCTTCCTCTAACAGTAACACATTACCGAATTAGTATATTTATCAAAATGAGAAAGCAAATATTTGTCCAATACTGGTCACAACATTCTCATCTTGATTGAATTAAAAATTTGATGTTTTTCCCCAGAATTTTTTCAGCAGATCATTCAGTACACAGAGGAATACCGCCACATGCCACTTCTGAAGCTCTGGGTCGGGCCGGTGCCCATGGTGGCCCTTTATAATGCAGAAAATGTGGAGGTGGGTACGTGTGAATACGATCATTATTGCACTGTGTATCTTACAGTGTGAGAATCTCATCAGAATCAATATAATGCATCCTTACATTTCAACCATTTCAGTGCAAAAAACATTCCATTAAGTATTTTAGACTATATAGGTGCAATTTAATGTTTTTCAGATGTAGCCTGAATCCTGGGAGATTAACACCCTCCAGATATAAGTGCACAACTGCTATCAGGTCCCGTTATATTTATTCTTTTTTTGAAAGGATATCATTTTTTTAGAAACATAAATAAATTATTCCACAAGGCGAGTACTTTTTATCCACCAGATACCATTTTAAGACTTCAAAAATATATGACTAATAAAATATGTTCCTCAAGTTGTTCAGGTCTCATATTATATCAATGATAAACTTATTATTCCAAATTTAAAAGACAAGGTAAATTTGATATTTATGGGATAAATATTACAAACCCATGCTATTGAAATTAGTCCTCCAAAAAACTGTAGTCCTTTTAGTAGTTGAAAGGTCTGGGGAAATCATCTTGTAGTATGGTGAGAAAAGGATTTGGGTGAGGAAACAAAGATGGGGTAAACAGACCGTTGACCAAAATTAAAGGCCAAATTTCCTAGGAAGTAGTGCCAGGACACGTCTTTCTAATTATGGTGAAAATGTTGGAGTTTCTCATACTTCTCCAGAATCCTGGCTCAGAGAAGAGAGCGAGAAGGGCAGACAGGATTTCAGCCACTGTTGGCCTAGTGTTAATAGAAGTTGGTGTGGTGGATGCAGATGGAGAGCTGTCCAGAGTAGGGGACTCGAGCAAGAAGCCTGGTGAGCACTCTGTGCTCAGCCCTAGACCCCATCCCTCCTCCCACTTCACGTGGACTCTTGGTGATCCGATCACACTCACGGCTTCCCTTGCTGCCTCTATGCTGGGGACACTCAAACAGGCATCTCCAGCTCAGGCCGTATCTTGGCTGTCTCATTTGCTTTCAGACCACAGCAACCTGAATGCCTCAAAGTCAACATCGCCTGAAAATACACCCATGATTTCCATCTCCCCAGATGTGCTCACCCTCCAGATTTGCCTCCTCCCCACCTCACTTTCCCCCTCCCCCCATTAAATAACTCCACTTGGTTCCTGGTTTGTGGCGGGAACTAGAGAATCGTCTGGGTCATCTTTCTTTCTCCCAAATGCATTGAGTCCCCAAGACTGAAGGCTAGTTTTATGTTCAAAACTCTAATTGAAAGTCTTTGAGGCACAGGACTGAAAATGAACCACGGAGAAAATAAATGTTGCGAATGTCCTAAACACTAGCTGTATTCTAGCCAGGTATTCCTGTAATTACAGGAAGGCTGTTTGATGTCTGTATGTCTCTAAAATATGTTTTTCTCCTCCTAAGGTAATTTTAACTAGTTCAAAGCAAACTGACAAATCGTCTATGTACAAGTTTTTAGAGCCATGGCTTGGCCTAGGACTTCTTACAAGGTATGCCCGTGTACCTGTGTAAAGCTGTCTGTAGAAATGGTTGCTTCTACCTGCCACTTGTTACTTCAGGAACTGACGCATGGTAGCTTTTCTCTGTAGCAGGACTGTGCTGTCAGAAAGGAGGAGAAAGGCTGGAAAGGAAGGTCCAGCTGGCAGCTGGCCTTTGCCCGCCAAGAGGCCAAGAGTCGAGGTGAACGGTTATCTCCAGCTGTGGTGTTCAATAGTGACTATCGCCAGTGTTCAGGAAGACTCAGAAGTTCCTGATGGACGGGACTGGGCAGGATGGAGGACACAGTAAAGCAAGGAGTGTCTGGAGCAGGGAAATCTTGAAAACCCAATCAAAAAGATAGCCCCAGAGAAGTACAGTGAGCTGGTATCTAGAAACAGGGTTCCATCCTCAGAGAGAGGTCCCCACAAGGACAAGGCAGGAGCCTAGTAGGGACTTTGGAGAAGTGGAGCAGGAGAGACATCAAGGTAGAACCATGGAGAGTGAGGATCATCTGAGGACTAAGGTATTGATGGCAGGAGAAAAAAAATGTTGTTAAAAACTTGGAACTCAGAAATTGAGAAAAATTCTTAAATTTTTCAATTTTATGAATGCTATTTTAAACATTAATATTATGGAACAATGTCCAAAATATTCATATTTTGTAACTACAGATGAATATCTTATAGATATGTGTATATCTTTGTCATTCTGCCAAAAGCATTTGAGAACCTGTAGATGAAGGTGTTTCAGGAGAATTTTGTTGACTTGCTGTATTTATGCTTTAATCGTTTTGGATGTTACTTTTCTCTTTCTCTCTCTCTATATATGTATGTTTTTTGTAACCACATATTTTATTTCTAGTACTGGAAACAAATGGCGCTCCAGGAGAAAGATGTTAACACCCACTTTCCATTTTACCATTCTGGAAGATTTCTTAGATATCATGAATGAACAAGCAAATATATTGGTTAAGAAACTTGAAAAACATGTTAACCAAGAAGCATTTAACTGCTTTGTTTACATCACTCTTTGTGCCTTAGATATCATCTGTGGTGAGTCTCATCTATCTGTTTCTACATTTATTGCAAAAAGAGAAAATGGCCCAAATAGGAAATCACGCTCCACCGGGAAGGCAAATGGGGGGACTGGAAAGGGTGGTGGGCCCTTCAGAGTGGTTCTCCTGCCATGTTAGCCTTCTGAGGAGCAGCAGCCATGCCCAGGGCTGTGAGCGGGGCAGGCACGGAGCAAATGCCCAGGGTGGCAAAGGGAAGGAAGAACAGGAACAGGGAGTAGAAGTGGCCGGTACAAGAGAAGGGGGTAAAGGGAGGAAGGAGAATTCTGAAAAATACAAGGACAAAGCAGGATGTACGTCTTTAGTGTCTGCCACTGCAAAATAAACACAAGATAACTAACGTGCATGAATTGAATGGTTGCTTCTCACCCATATTTTATAGAAACAGCTATGGGGAAGAATATTGGTGCTCAAAGCAATGATGATTCCGAGTATGTCCGTGCAGTTTATAGGTAAATGGAGTCCTTTCAGTTATTTCAAAAATTATTGATTTGGACTTTAAAAATTATCGCTAACAATTTCTGTGTTGTATCTTTTTATGGTTTCAAAATTAACCATTAAACTAGAAGTTAACCTCATCATGTAAGTATGTGTTAAGCAGTAGAGTAAAGGTTATATAAATTATGGCACATGTAGATTATGCAGTCATTTAAAATGATTATTCTCTAACATTGAGATTACATTATATTGTACGTAATGATGTTTACATTGTGATGCTGAGAAAAGAAAGATATAAACAGTTTTCTGCACTATGATAATTGTTATATTTAAAAATTATTCAAAGAAAAGTAGCAGATACTATAACCAAATGTTAGCCGTGGTTCTCATTGTCTCGTGTATGTGTTTCTCATTCTTGTGCTTTCCTTTTGTTGTTATTCTTCTTTCTCATATTTTCTGCACCCAGTAGGTATTGTTTTAGTCATCGAAACAGTCAATTTGACTCTAAAATTGCTTGCAATTATTCACCTGTTAAGAGGCAGGGCAAGGACTTGAGGAAGTACAGAGAAGTGCATTGAGCTGAGTACCTTTAAGTCTCTTGCTCATTTCACTTCACTTTAACCAACATTTATTAAGCATCTGCGATCTTCCAATCACTGCACAGGGTACTGACTGGTTTTGTAGTAGTACACAAAACAGAATAACACAGGAGTCAGGCATTGGACAAAGAGATTCATGAATTGTAATAATTGCTCAGGAAGAGAAGATCAAATTGATATCGGAGAGGAAAACCAGAAAGTATCCTACAGAGTGAGAGGCCAGCAAAGGTCTTTCTGAAGAACCGGTGTCTCAGCTGGTCCTGCAGGAGCTCACGTGGGGGTCTTCTGCTCTATGACTGGACATGAAAGGGAGGAGCCAGAACAGCCAAGTAACAGATGGGTACTTCGAGAGCCCTCGCTTGTAGAAGAGGGCAGCCAGTTGTCTTCTGCCCCTCCAGAGGAGTGGTCAAACCAATGATGGACCTTAAAAGGAGGCTGATTTCATCTCAGCCCTTGGTACAGAGGCCCTAGGCAGAGTGGAAAACTTGCCCTGGAGAAACAGAAGCAGAGGCCAGATGGCTATCTAGTAAGAATGTTTTATAATGGATTCTTCATTCCTTTGAAGAACCCATTATTTTCTGAGGCTTCATGGGATGCATAATAGCCCGTACCTTCACTGTTGAGCATAAAGCATGGAGCTCTTAGTAGCCTCTGAGACAGTCATCGTCATTTCCACGATTGCCTTCATCAAGGCTAGGTACCAAAGAAGTGCTCGAGAAATACACCTTTCTGATACAACAGCTGATGTATTTTTTTCCCATCTATAGAATGAGTGAGATGATATTTCGAAGAATAAAGATGCCGTGGCTTTGGCTTGACCTCTGGTACCTTATGTTTAAAGAAGGATGGGAACACAAAAAGAGCCTTAAGGTCCTACATACTTTTACCAACAATGTAAGTCCCTGACTTTTAAAATTGTGGTAAAATAGACAACACATAAAATTTTCCCTTACAACCATTTGAACTGTACAGTTTGGTGGTGTTAAGTGCATTTACCATGTTGTGCAACGATCCCCACCATCCATTTCCAGAACTTTTGGTGAGTCCATGATGTCGGTGTTTTGTTAACACACGCAGTGTAGGACTATTGAGCGTATATCTCAGAAAATAAAAGTTGAATAATAATAGAAAAAATTATTTAGCATATTTATACTTAAATTATGTATTCGACAAATATTAATTAAGTGCTCGCTAAGTGCCAAACACCATGCCAAATGTTGGAAATTTAGTAATGAGTAGGACATGTGTATATGATCCCTACCTGAAAGGAAGTTATTGTAGTAAGAGAGGTGATCTATCAACACATAATTACAACATGTGATATGAGCTATGAACACTTATTAACAAACAGGGTGCTGTGTAAAAGAATAAAGAAACAAATATCTGTGTATAGGAGTTTTCTGGAAAATGTTTGGATTCGGCAGTCATTTTCAAAGGCAGGGGGCATTGATAGCAGCATCTTAACTTGGAAAACATTAAAATTAACTAGATATTAGTATTTTATTTCCAATTCAAAAATAACCAGAAGATAGTGATGTTGTTTTGAATATAGGGTGTCAATCTTTGTGTTAATAATGTGTTTTGAAAAAGCAAGATTTAATTGAAAATATACATCAAATTATCATTTCAGTGTATTGAAAAAACAGCCTAAATGAATATGTCCTTTCTTTGCTGTAAATTTTGGTTAAAATCTATTGGAATTATGTCCTTGTGGTGAAATATACCCTACCGCAAGAGAGCAAATGATAAATAAATCAGTAGATGCTCCGTGAATGCAGTGTTGGCTGAGCTGGCCACAGTGCAGTGTGATCACCTGGTTAGAGGAGAATAGCCAGCAGGTTATATTTCATAGTTAAATTTTTCCTTAAATTTTGTGCATTAATATTTAATAGCAATAATTAAATGAATTCCTGACTGAATGGACAATATTATTCATTTAATAAACATTGAGAATTGCCTACTGAGGCCTGGGCTGTAAGAATTCCACCAAGAATAAAAGAAGACATGGTGTTTTGCCCTCAAAGAGCCTAGAATCTATTTAGGCCACTTAGTAGCAGGTTTGGTCAATTATCTGGTAGGAAAAGAAGGTTGAAATGTACAACCAAATTAAGTGTATGGGCCTTCATTCTTCTATCCATTCAAGAAATATCTAGTGAGTATTTTTTATTTTTTTTATTTTTTTTTTATTTTATTTTATTTTTTTGAGACGGAGTCTCGCTCTGTCGCCCAGGCTGGAGTGCAGTGGCCGGATCTCAGCTCACTGCAAGCTCCGCCTCCCGGGTTCACGCCATTCTCCTGCCTCAGCCTCCCGAGTAGCTGGGACTACAGGCGCCTGCCACCTCGCCCGGCTAGTTTTTTTGTAGTTTTAGTAGAGACGGGGTTTCACCGTGTTAGCCAGGATGGTCTCGATCTTCTGACCTCGTGATCCGCCCGTCTCGGCCTCCCAAAGTGCTGGGATTACAGGCTTGAGCCACCGCGCCCGGCCTCTAGTGAGTATTTTTTAAATGCCAAGCCATACTCTGTATATCAATGAACAAAGACATGCACAGGCATGGCAGAGTTTGAGTTGGAAGAGAGAGAGGCTAAGTAATAAGTATAACATAAGTATAATATCACATATAGTAATAAGCATATTAGAAGTATCACATAATGTCAGGTGGCAAGGGAAATGGAGAAAAATAAAGCAGTGTTAGGAAGCGTCCTAATGCTAGGGACGGGGGTGGCAAGGATGAGGGAGGTCTCTCTGATCGCGTGACAGTGAGCAGAGATCTGGAGGAAGGGAAGGGGCAGCCATGCAGGCCTCTGAGGAAAGCATTTCAGGCAGCAGGAATTGCAAGCATAGAGGGTGAATTCACTAATCTACTTGCTGTTTCTTTTCTCCCCTACAACATGTAATTAAGTCTGTAATGAGAGTATTGTGTAATGATTGCATTCACTCCACCCCTTAAACTTTTTCTCATTAGCACGATCAAATCTCTAGGGTACTATCTAGTAGACTATGATTCTATTCTTGTGTTGAAAAGACGGCAAAAATAGCACTTGAAAATTAGGAATTTGCGTGACATTACATTTGTTTTTAAAAGTTTCACCAAATAATCCCCAAAATAGTAATGAGGCTTTACTGTGTTTTCACAAGAGCCTATGTTGTCGAAATGTTGAAATAGAAAGGCTTGGAAAAAATAAATGAAAGAAACTAGCATATTTTATAAGAAAACGTGTTACCAGCGTGCATCCAAGTTCAAACAGAAGCATGTGATTATCATTCAAATCGTACAGGTCATCGCTGAACGGGCCAATGAAATGAACGCGGATGAAGACCGTAAAGGTGATGGCAGGGACTCCGCCCCCTCCAAAAATAAACGCAGGGCCTTTCTTGACTTGCTTTTAAGTGTGACTGACGACGAAGGGAACAGGCTAAGTCACGAAGATATTCGAGAAGAAGTTGACACCTTCATGTTTGAGGTATTGCATATTGTTATGTTCAGATATCATTAAACACATTTCAGTTATTGTTAGAATCTGTAGCATTATTTTTTAAAACTTAATCAAATTTTAAAGTCGTTTACTGTAACTGAGGAAGATTCATTATATTTTAACTAGAAATTACAAAATTTAAGAAACTGATTAACTGAACTTCCTTCTTCAGAAAACGATTTTGACTAGTGCTGGGCACAGCAGTAGATGCATTTGTTTTCCCTCAAGAAAACCTAAGACTTGTCAGAGTTTTCCCAAGCAGAAGAGCAGCCAGAGATTGTTGCTCTCGGTTCTCCACGTGGCTTCAGACTTCTTGCCAACCCCCGAGACCCGCAAGTCCCCTTCCTCACCACCTCCTTTCTGAGGTTCCAGCAGATGAGCACTTGGCTACTGCCATGAGCTGCCCTCCCGAAAGAGGACAGGGAGAGCCCTCCCACAGAGAATCAGCCAGTTCATGATTCTGAAGAGACCTCTGATCTCAAATTCATACATATACATATGAAGTGCTTTTTACAAAGATAGCTTAAATATTAACTACTACAAAGAGAGACTTTCTCTTTATGTGGATTGCAAAATAGATAAAGCGTGGTGTTTAGAAGCCATGTAGTAATATCCTCCACATGGAGCAGAGTGAAAGGCACCTGAATTGGTTTTTTTTTTTTTTTTTGAAACGGAGTCTCGCTCTGTCGCCCAGGCTGGAGTGCAGTGGCCGGATCTCAGCTCACTGCAAGCTCCGCCTCCCGGGTTTACGCCATTCTCCTGCCTCAGCCTCCCGAGTAGCTGGGACTACAGGCGCCGCCACCACGCCCGGCTAGTTTTTTGTATTTTTAGTAGAGACGGGGTTTCACCGTGTTAGCCAGGATGGTCTCGATCTCCTGACCTCGTGATCCGCCCGCCTCGGCCTCCCAAAGTGCTGGGATTACAGGCCTGAGCCACCGCGCCCAGCCAGGCACCTGAGTTTTTAATGGCTCTGCCTGCCACCCACGTGTTAGCTGCTCTGCGGCAGCCTCTGGCAGCAGTGCCAAGCGTGTGCACTCTGGTGTGAGGCTCCACGACACGGTAGAAAAAACTGTGTGAAGGGTCTTTAGATCCGAGTTCCAGTTCAGGCTCTGTGCTGATTAGCCAAATAAGATAGTTCTGATCATTCCAGAGCTCTTTCACAATTTTCCTCTGTGTAAAGAGAGAGATGGGCTACACTGGCAGTTTTAAACTTTTTAAAGCAGAAAACTCTACTGAAAATAAATCTGAAGCAGAAAATGGACATCTAAATTAGCTGAAAAGTAGACAGGTGTTAAGCGTGTGGGCTCTAAGACCACATCCCAGCTAACATGCTGGAACCATGACCTCAAGCACCTCACCCAGCCGTTCTGGGCCTGCATATTCTTATTTTAATAGCACAAGCCTCATGGAATAGTTATGATGATTAGATTTGTAAAGGTGCCCTGAGAATCGTGATTGGCCCATAAGAAGTATGCAGCACATACCAGGTGTCATTTGATGAAGTGGAGAGACCTTCTCACATCTTCACCTTGCCCATGTACACACATGTGCACACACACATGCATACACTCATGTACACCCATGCACAAACACACATGCACACGTCTACACACACACACACATGCTCATGCACATACACATGTACAGACACATGTATATACCCACAAACACACATTCACATATACACACAAACACAAATGCATGCACACACCTACATACACTCATGCACATACACACATACATGCACACACATACACAAACGTGTATATCCACATGCACACACACTTGTATACAAACACACACAAATATACACACACACCCAGATACTCATGCACATACACATGCATGCACACACATACCCACATGCACACATGCATGCATACATATACATGCACACACCACCCCACACACGTGCACACATTCATGTACATTTATGCAAACAATCACACATACAAAAACACACGTACAGACCTACATACACACATGCACATAGACACATACACATACATAGATGCACATATAAATACACATGCACACAGTCAGATGCACAAAGCCATGTATACTCGTGTGTACATAAACACAAATGCACACACAAGCACATGTACATAGCCACGTACACACATGCATATATGCACACACCCCCATACACACATGTACACACATGTGCACACACACATCCATCTCCTACCAGGAACCTCTCAATCTCACGAAAACAACCAGAACCAGACTAATGATTTCTCTTCCAACTCTAATATTCCCTAACATTCTAATTCTTTTCTTCTTTGCATTGAAAGGGAGGCATAGCCGGTGTGAGTGTGATACTGTGGCCTCCTCCACAGGCTGGTCAATTTTTAATGCAGAGGATATGACTTAGAACCACACCTCTACCCCCCCCGGTGCCCGCCATCAACAGGCAAGGCCCACCTGACAGATGGGGAAGGCAGAGAAGTACAGACCTGACAAGCAGGCTCATGAAAATCAGACTTCGTTCTATTCACAAAGGCCCAGCTCGCCTAGCGCCCGTGCAACGCCCCCTTTGTTAACACAGCACAGGCATGTCCCACCAGTGCACCCCCGTGCGGCGCAGAACTGTCATCTCTAGGCATGAGCCTCCGCTTTTCAGGGACTGTTTCCTTGTTTATCACCGAGGTAAGGTGCTGCACGGAATTCATTTCTTATGTTCTGCAGTCACAGTGCAGCCTTCAAATCTGGAGACAATTCAAAAGACGTTTCTGGTCACTCCCGATCATCGCAGTGTAACTCTGCTTTTTAAGCTACTGTTTTCTCCATTTGTAGGGCCACGACACAACTGCAGCTGCAATGAACTGGTCCTTATACCTGTTGGGGTCTAACCCAGAAGTCCAGAAAAAAGTGGACCATGAACTGGATGACGTGTTTGGTATGTCTGGCCCCTTCCCTGGTTATACTGTGGTACTAAGTCCCCTGCAGAGATGTCACTGTGTTGTAAACACAGCGTAATGAGCAGGGAGGCTCCCCAGCAGGATCCTTTCCAGTACCATCCCCTTTGCAAGGCCTCGTCCATTCACCCACAGGCCTCTGACAGACGCCTGGACAGTGACCGTACTGGGCTGGATGCTGCAGTGCACAGATGCGTGCTGCCATCCTCAAGGGTCTCACTGCTTCCCAGGCAAAACAGACACCTACGTGAAGCTTTGAGTTATGGGCTGTGCATTTGAATGAAGGTGCTCTTTGGGAGAAATGAGGAGCTGGTGAAACTATCCAGAAGGGTACAGGAAAGCTGTTTCACAGATTGCATCTCACCACAAAGGAGAGAAAAGATGAATTAAGCTACCAGGAGATACATTTCTATTATACAGCAAGCAACCGGAGGAAAAGTCCTGCCAGTAGGATGTCCAGGGTCCCAGACTTGCCCTTTTGCTCCCTGCCATCCCTACCGTCTTGGCTTTTGTTCTCTTGATCGGTGTTCCGAGCATCACATTCATCTTCAAGGCAGGAAGATGGGGTGGGGGTGCCAGGTGTCTTGGTGTCCTGTGGCTGCTGTGACAAATCCACAGACAAGGAGGTTCACAGCAGCGACGTCTGTTCCCTCACAGTTCTGGACACCTGAGTCAAAGATCGGTGTCACTGAGCCCACATGACCGTGTGGGCAGGGCTGAGCTCCTCCTCGCCTCTTCAGCTTCTGGTGGCTGCCAGTGTTCTTGGCTGACAGCCACATCGCTGGCATCTCTGCCAGTCTCTGCATTGCCTTCTCTTTTCTCTGCGTGTGTGTGTGCACACACGTGCATGCGTGTGTGGTGTGTGTGTGCATGTGTGTGTGCTTGTGTGTCTTTCTCTCACAAACATACTTGTGACATACTTGTGATGGCGTTCAGGGCCCACCTGGATCATCGCCCCACTGTAAGATCTTTAATTTAATCAAATCTGCCAAGAATTCTCTTCTTCCAAATAGGGTAACATTTACAGATTGCAGGGATTAAGACCTGATATTTTGGGGCCCATTATCAGCCTGCCACAAAGGGGCTTCCGTCAATTTTATCCTTTTTGAAAATCACGTGTCACATGGCCCCCAATAGCTGCAAGGTGAAAAAGAATAAAGTTGAGTTAGCCGAGCAGCCAGTGGTATCTGATGCAGTTTTATAGCGAGAAGAGGGGAAGGAAAACTACAGGTATAAAGCTGGAGAGAGAAGGTTCTAGAAAGAGAGGAAGCAGATGAACAACAGCACAGAAATGGAAAGGGTTCTGGTCTGGAGGGCAATAGTGGAGAGTGAGAGACCGCGAGAACTCATCTCTCATTCCCTGGGAGATGAGGATGGAAAAGCAGTTTTGTGTGCAGATTGTGCCGGGACTGGAATTTCATATTAAGAGGCAAGCTTTTATTTTGCAGAATGGACACCTTCTAAACCTTTTGGCAACATTTTTGTCATCATTTTATTTTTTTTACACTGATTTTAGTTTTGCTTATATTGCCTTGAGTGGGTAAATTTAGTCTTCTAAAAGCTCACAAGTTCTTTTGGAATAGGCTCCAATCTTTTGTATCCTCTACAATGTTTAGTTCATTGCCAGTTTCACAGAGGTTTTTGGTCCTGCAGAATCGGTGACACAGTCATCATTACTAGAATCTTTGCTCCGTGCTTCTCGTGTTTTCTGCTTATTGTGCCTCACTTTTTCTTCAACCCCCAATCCTAGTTCTAAAATTTTTGAGTAACTAGGCTGGGCATGGTGGCTCACACCTGTAATCCCAGTGCTTCAGGAGGCTGAGGCGGGTGGATCACAAGGTCAGCAGATCGAGACCATCCTGGCTAACATGGTGAAACCCTGTCTCTACTAAAAATACGAAAAATTAGCCAGGCGTGGTGGTGGGCACCTGAAGTCCAGGCTACTCGGGAGGCTGAGGCAGGAGAATGACATGAACCCAGGAGGCGGAACTTGCAGTGAGCCGAGATTGCACTACTGCACTCCAGTCTGGGTGACAGAGCGAGACTCCATCTCAAAAAAAAAAAAAAAAGAAATTTTTTTTGAGCAACTAATCTTTGTGTAGTGAGTTGCAAGTATTAATTCCTTGTGTTATTTTTTTACTGGGGTAAATGTCAACATAATGTAAAATCTGCCATTTAAAAATGTACATTTCAGTGGCATTTAGTACCTTCACCGTGTTGTACAACAGTTACGTCTACCTAATTCCAGAATATTTTCAGCACCTCGAAAGGAAACCTGGTGCGATTAAGCAGTCCCTCTTGATTCCTCCTTCCCCCAGCCCTGGCAGCCTCTGATTTACTTTCTGTCTCTGTGGATTTACGTATTCTGAGTACTACTTATACATGGATTCGTACAATATGTGATCTTTAGTGTCTGTTCATTTTACTTGGCATATTGCCTCATTTTATTTTGATTATGCATAGTGTTAGAAATTCTGCTTTAGCTGTGGGTATTTAGCATCTGGTGCATTGATCTACATGTTCTTCTTTGATGGGTATTTGATGGGTATTTAGCATCCAGTACCTTGATCCACGATATTCTTTGATGAGTATTTGATGGGTATTTAGCATCCAGTACCTTGATCCATGTGTTCTTCTTTGATGGGTATTGATGGAGTGTTTACCATCAGTACCTTGATCCACGTGTTCTTCTTTGATGGATATTTGATGGGTATTTAGCATCCAGTACCTTGATCCACGTGTTCTTCTTTGATGGATATTTGATGGAGTATTTATCAGTACCCTGATCCATGTGTTCTTCTTTGATGTTGGAGTATTTGATGGGTATTTGGTATCCAGTACCCTGATCCACGTGTTCTTCTTTGATGGGTATTTGATGGGTATTTAGCATCCAGTACCTTGATCCACATGTTCTTTGATGGATATTTGATGGGTATTTAGCATCCAGTACACAGTCCATGTGTTCTTCTTTGATGGATATTTGATGGGTATTTAGCATCCAGTACCCTGATCCATGTGTTCTTCTTTGATGGATATTTGATGGGTATTTAGCATCGATACCATGATCATGTGTTCTTCTTTGATGGATATTTGATGGGTATTTGGCATCAGTACCTGATCCGCGTGTTCTTCTTTGATGGAGTATTTGAGGGTGTTTAGCATCCAGTACCTGATCCACGTGTTCTTCTTCTTTGATGGTATTTGATGAGTATTTGCATCCCTGCCTTGATCCATGTTCTTCTTTGATGGGTATTAAATGGGTATTAGCGTCCAGTACCCTGATCCACGTGTTCTTCTTTATTAAGGTATTTGATGGGTATTTAGCATCCCCTGCCTTGATACATGTTCTTCTTTGATGAGTATTAAATGGGTATTTAGCATCCAGTACCCTGATCACGTGTTCTTCTTTGATGAGTATTTGATGGGTATTTAGCATCCAGTACCATGATCTCATGTTCTTCTTTGATGGATATTTGATGGGTATTTAGTATCCAGTACCTTGATCCACGTGTTCTTCTTTGATGGATATTTGATGGGTATTTAGCATCCAGTACCTTGATCCACGTGTTCTTCTTTGATGGATATTTGATGGGTATTTAGCATCAGTGCAAATCCCACGTGTTCTTCTTTGATGGGTATTTGGGGGTGTTTAGCATCCAGTACCTGACATCCAGTACCCTGATCCACGTGTTCTTCTTTGATGGGTATTTGATGGGTATTTAGCATACCCTGCCTTGATCCACATGTTCTTCTTTGATGGGTATTTAATGGGTATTTAGCATCCGGTACCCTGATCCACGTGTTCTTCTTTGATGGGTATTTGATGGGTATTTAGCATCTAGTACCTTGATCCACATGTTCTTCTTTGATGGGTATTTGATTGGTGTTTAGCATCCCCTGCCTTGATCCATGTGTTCTTTTTCGATATGTGCACCCCTGGCCCCACCGCTCTTTCAGGTCATCTTATCTCCTTGCTTTCATCAGGGAGGTCTGACCGTCCGGCTACCGTAGAAGACCTGAAGAAACTTCGGTATCTGGAATGTGTTATTAAGGAGACCCTTCGCCTTTTTCCTTCTGTTCCTTTATTTGCCCGCAGTGTTAGTGAAGATTGTGAAGTGGGTAAGTATGCTATACCTAAAGTAGAAGGGAGAGGGAAACTTTCTAATGTCTGTCTTGCTCTGGTCCCATAACGTATTGACTACTTCTTGACAGCGGGTTACAGAGTTCTGAAAGGCACTGAAGCCGTCATCATTCCCTATGCATTGCACAGAGATCCGAGATACTTCCCCAACCCCGAGGAGTTCCAGCCTGAGCGGTTCTTCCCCGAGAATGCACAAGGGCGCCATCCATATGCCTATGTGCCCTTCTCTGCTGGCCCCAGGAACTGTATAGGTTTGTATCCATCTCAGTTGGTTTGACCTTTCAGGCCCACTTGATAGTGGGTTTCTCACAGTTATTTCTTTGAGATGTGATATGACATTGCCCATATGCAACAGCCTTAAAAAAATAGCTGGTTTCTTTTTTCCCTCACTTACTGTGCTTTGTAGTTTTAAAATATTATGGTCAAAAGGTATATTAGTATATTAGCCTGCGTGGGCTTCCACAGCAAAATACCACAGACTCAGTGGCTTAAACAGCAGAAATTTATCTTCTCACAGTTCTGGAGGCTGGAAGTTCAAGATCAAGGTGTTGGCAGGGCTGGTTTCTCCTGATGCCTCTCTGTGGCTTGTAGATGCCGTCTTCACCTCATGTCTTCACATGGTCTTTCCTCTGTGTAGGTCTGTGTCCTGATCTTCTCTCCAGTCAGACCACTCTAGGGCCTACCCCAATTACCTCACTTTTGCTTACTGACCTCTTTCAATGACCTGTCCCCAAATACAGTCATACTCTAAGGTACAGGGGGCTTAGAATTTGGAGAGAGACACAATTACCCATAGCATAAGATATAATTAGTTTCATGGTAGAGTTTCAAAATGTTGTAGATTTTTAATTACAGTAGAATATCTTTTTGTGGTAAAAACTTTATTTATGATTACTTATGGTTAACCTAATTTTTGTGTTTATTGCTTTTAAGAATTTCATTTTGCAAATCAAAACAGAAAATGCTTGCCATATGGCCAGCTGAAGTACTTAAGCAAAATGAATGCACATCACTGCCCTGCATTATAAACCCTTTGGGTTTTAGTATCTCTAGCATTTTGTCATTTATGTAAATGCAGACCTTGGTAAAATGAGGACAGAATGAAATGGGTGAATCTGAAGCTTATTTGGTGAATCTATAGTAAATTAAACACCCTCTAAGACATAATCTAGAGTAGTGAGTCTCAAGCTTGAATGAGCTCAGGATTTATCTGGATCAGCTGGAGTACAAATTCCCTGATCCTCCCCAGCTATAGATATGCAAGGTGGGAGCAGGGAGAGAAACTCAAGACTCTTCATTTTTAACAAGTGTCCCAAGCCATTCTGATTCTCCTTCCGCCTACTCTGAAAATGTAAAATGGCTTGCTTCCTGTGATAGGACCTCTTGTTTCTCACATTTGGGGTAAATCTATATCTAAAGCGATGGTATCTACATTGATTTGAAGGTCAAAAGTTTGCTGTGATGGAAGAAAAGACCATTCTTTCGTGCATCCTGAGGCACTTTTGGATAGAATCCAACCAGAAAAGAGAAGAACTTGGTCTAGAAGGACAGTTGATTCTTCGTCCAACTAATGGCATCTGGATCAAGTTGAAGAGGAGAAATGCAGATGAACCCTAACTATATTATTGGGTCATGCTTTTATCATGAGAAAGGTCTTTATTTTAAGAGATCCTTGGCATTTACAATTTATAGATCATGAGTTCAATATGCTTGAATCCCCTAGACCTAATTTTTCCTTGATCCCACTGATCTTGACATCAAGTCTAACAAAGAAAGAGTTTTGAGTTTTATATTTTCTTTTCTTTTCTTTTTTTTGGGACCGAGTCTCACTCTGTCACCCAGGCTGAAGGAGTGCAGTGGTGTGATCTCGGCTTATTGCAACCTCCAACTCCCAGGTTCAAGTGATTCTTCTGCCTCCGCCTCCCAAGTAGCTGGGATTACAGGCGCCTGCCACCACACCTGGCTAATTTTTTTGTATTTTTGGTAGAAACAGGGTTTCGCCATGTTGGCCAGACAGGTCTCGAACTCCTGACCTCAAGTGATCCACCCGCCTCAGCCTCCCAAAGTGCTGGGATTACAGTCGTGAGCCACCACGCGCGGCCAGAATTTTGTATTTTCATCACCATCATAGATGTTACAGTTGGCTGTGGTCTCAAAAGTAGAGTTAAGTGTGTCAGTACCCAAATAAACATCTAACAGGTTTCTCAACAGAGAAAGTCCAATTCCACTTCAATTGATAGACCCCCAAAATATAATTTAATCAAAGTTCTAGAATTTTTGTTTGTTTGTTTGAGACGGAGTCTCGCTCGGTTGCCTATGCTGGAATGTAGTGGTGACATCTTGGCTCACTGCAGCCTCCACCTCGCAGGTTTTCCTGCCTCAGCCTTCTGAGTTGCTGGGGCTACAGGCGCATGCCACCACGCCCAGCTAAGTTTTGTATTTTTAGTAGAGATGGGCTTTTATCATGTTGGCCAGGATGGTCTTGATCTCTTGGCCTCGTGATCTGCCTGCCTTGGCCTCCCAAAGTGCTGGGATTAGAGGCGTGAGCCGCTGCGCCTGGCCCAAAGGTCTAGAATTTTTTAAAGGTATTCATGTTAACTCAGGAATACACACACACACACACACACACACACACACACACAGCATAATTTGAAAGAGGTAAGTACTCTGACTTAGGCTCTCAAGTTTTAAAAATTATATTAGTGGCATCATTTATGACAAGAACAGATTTTATAACCTAGAGCAGATTATTTACAAGTTGATTCGCAGGTTCTGTTACAGTTTCTGTTTTGATTGTCACTTATGGTCTTCATTTCATTCCTCATAGAATCCCAATCACCTATATATATTATTGGAAGAGATTCATCTTCATAATCTCCAATTTTTCACAATGCCTCACAAGGTTAATCATGCCTTTTGGAGCTAGAAGGACTTTAGAATGTGTCTGGTTATGCTCCTTTATAAGTAAGGGAATAGAATCAGTAAGACAGTTTCTGCCCAAAGTCATGTTACCAGTTGGTGATAGAGCCAGAAATACATAGAGATCTATACTCTAAATCTCTCCACTCACATGCTGATATACTTTCTACTACAGTATGCTATATGGAACTCAGGGTGATGATCAGACGTGTCATTAGAACATGAGTCTTCTGCTTCTGATTTAGGCATACTTCTGGGATTCTTCCATCTTTAAAGGAAAAAGGAAGCCATTCCTCTGTTTCTAGTAACCCAGTAATATCTCACTTAGTTTAGGGTTAGACCTTTAGTTAATTCAACCCTACAGATCATACTTATCAAGCTGATAACTGACACATATTCCCTGAATTTTAATTTGATAGGCAATACATCTACCCACTCCATTATTTTTTTAAAACTTAATTTAATAATTTAAACAAGATTGGTTTTGTTTTCAATTTTTATTCATTCTTCATAGAATCACAATTACCTTAATCATATATTTTTGGAAGAGATTCCTCAGTAACTGCCCATCTCTCATAGTGCCTCACAGGGTTGATCAATGGCTTTTGGAACTGGAAGGACCTTAGAACTTTCCTGGTTATGCTCCCAATAGGCAATAGCAGATAGAACCGTGCAGTCAAGAGGGTAGGATATGTATTCTTCAATGGATATCAAAGGAAGAGGTTGCAAACCAAAGCCATTTGGCAAGCCCTGTAGCCTGGGCCATTTAAGGCGGGGGCAATCTCAGCCATTGCACCCATTTAACTATCCCAAAGAGCCACAGTGCATAGAACCCAGGCCCTAAATTGATGAGGAAAAAGTCAAGGAAGGAGGTGACGCAATTGGAAATATTCCCGTCAAATGGTTAATCTTATTATCAGGAAAATGGGTATATTAGAAAATTTCCTTCCAAGATGATTTTGGATAATAAAAGTTGTATTTGTGGAAATTGGTCTTATCTCTGTTTTATGCACTTACATTTATCCCTTACATTTTGTTTTTAGTGACACTACATGACATTAAATTTAAAGAAAACATTGCTTAATGTTACCGTTTGGTCTGAGAACTTCATTCAGCTCCAGAATTATTGTTACTCACATTTTAATCAGTAAATCATTTAAGCTGTGACAGAGTAGGAATTGAGAAATTATTTCATGTGCTGCAGTATTGAAATGTGGATGCTGCCTTGTTTTATAAGAAGATGATCAAGTATCTGTTTGTGTGCCCATTACCTTTCTTCTGCTTGAAAGACGTGTCTCAAGAAAAATAAATTATATTTTAGATGCAGGTGCTGCATTTTATTCTAAGAATTGATATCAATTGAAAACATAGAAAGCTGTAAAAGATAAGTCAGTGGGTGAGTGATTCATAATGGGTAATAAAAGAAATAGCACTTTTGAGTTGATGTCTTCAGTGACTCTTGGATTTTCTAACGAAAGGTTCCTGTACTGTTGTTGTAGACCGATTGTGAATTTCTCTGACCCTGAAGAATCAACTAGAAGAAGTAGAATAACCAGAACATATTGCTCAGCTGAAAGCACAAAGTAAACTCAGCTACTGGGAATCAGTAAAACCCACAGGCATCACTGGTCCCAGGGATTTAGAGTCCAGAAACCTCTCCAGGTGATGGACAGTTGATCTGGGGCTCTGTGCATTGTCACAGGCAGCTGGGGATGTCCGTTTCTGGACCAAACGACCCAACAAGAGATGGTGGTCATAAAAATCCATTTTTATCTGGAATGTTTCTAGAAGATCAAAACATTTTTCCTTCCAGCATCTAATGCCTGAGTGATACATTTAAACATTTTTAGTCTGCCTAGGCACCCTCTTTTTCTAGGAGCAGCACTCTTTATTTTTGAAATTATCCTACAATGAATTACCGGCTTTTCATCTATTCTCATCTTTTTCCTTCTCCAACATACACACACTGTAAACATGTGGTTTCCATTGGAGCTGCCATGGTCTTAGGCAATCCCGCTTTCTCAACCTTTGTTGAGTGACGCAAGCAAGGTTAAATTCAAGTTCTCCCGCACGAGTTTTCCCAGCTGCAATTGAAGAAGAGAGATAATCTCTGTGGTGGAAACTCCAGGTTGTGAAACTCAAGATCAATCAGCAGTGGAATCTCTGGAGCAGCTGCTGGGTGATGAGTAGAGAAGCAGCAGGCAGAAGAAATGACCAGAATCCTGGAGGAATCTGCATCCCACGTGCCAGGTGATGCTGAGACTCACTGCATGTCTGCCTTGGCCACCGTGCGGTGGGTCTACCCTATGTGGGGACCCAAGAGCCAATATATTGCCATTTGCTTACAAGGACTGTCTTCCATTTATGACCAAAAGCGACTTAGTGTGTGTCAGGTCAGCCGCAGGATGAAGGAAGGGCCCCCATTCTCTGGATATGATCTTAGGTCTTCACCCTATTTTCTTTGTGCTGTTCAATAATTCTGTAGATTGGATTATCAGCATATATGCCCACCAGTCATTTAAATGCAATACCATTTAAGAAAATGCAGAGTTTTCTCCTTTCTAGATAGTAGGAAAATTAAAGTTACAGTGCATTATTTTAGAACACAGCCAGGCTTAACCTAACACATCAGTCCAGCTTTTTGGTTCTGCCTTGATGACTCTCCAGACTAATTAGTCATTTTTCTCCTTCTCTAATTAAACCAGGTTCATTTTCCTTCTGGCTACCTGTATGCCACATTTCAGGGATAAATCTCTCATCTTTAATTACTAAAATGGACTGGTTGCATTCTTGCCTCAGTTTCTTGTCCAGAAGTTCACCAAATGGTTATTTCCTTGGGCCAAATTCAGTTTTGGAATGAACTCCAGTCTTTAGCTGTTGATATTGTTCTCTTTATCCTGGTAGATAAATTTTTGTCACGTTCTTTCTCCTTCCCATCATTATCTCTCCTCTTTACCCATCACTTTCTTTCTGTTGGGGTTTGGATTTATTGATCTCAGCCTTTCCTGATACTACTCAATTTATGTTTCACAGAAATAAAGGCTATACTTAAATGAAACTCAGATTCCTATATAACAATGTTGTGATAACTTGTTTCCTTCAGTAAGGGTCACACAGATAGTATAGATCTTATCGGGAAGAAAAATTATCACAATATTTAGACACGACTGTCTTCTTTTAAAAATGTTTTCAGTTTACTTTCAGATTCCATATATAGTTTTAAAATACATGTTTTAGTTGAATAGTAAAAAAAAAAAGTGTAAGCACAGGAGTGTCATTGGGCACTCCTGGGAAGGAGAGTAGCCTTTTTTTTTCCTTCCTTTCTTCCTTCCTTCCTTCCTTCCTTCCTTCTTTCCTTCCTTCCTTCCTTCCTCCCTCCCTCCCTTCCGTCCTTCCTTTCTCTCTCTCTCTCCTTTCTTTCTTTCCTTTTTTTTTTTCTATATTCTACCTCTAGGCTTTGCCTCCTTGCTTGCTCAAGTCAAGCCCAAGTTTTAAGTTTTATGCTTATGGAAATACAGTAAATTAAGGCATTTATTTATTTATTTATTTATTTATTTTTATTTTTTGAGACAGGGTCTCACTCTATCACCCAGGCTGAGTTGCAGTGATGCAATTGTGGCTCACTGCAACCTTCACCTCCTGGGCTCAATGGATCATCCCACCTCAGTCTGCTGAGTAGCTAGGACTACAGGTGCATGCCACCACGACTGTCTAATTTTTGTATTTTTTCTTGTACAGTTAGGGTTTTGCCACGTTTCCCAGGCTAAATTAAGACATCTAAATCACTCAGGCACTACTAATTTTTTCATATTGCCACATCCTCCTAGGAGTGGGATTGTGCTTCAGTCTTTTCAGCTGTCTATGCCTTAATTGTGACTCCCATCAATAACGCTTGATGTAGCCAGCGTTGGTTTGTTATGACCAAAAGCAATGCTGTTCTGGAAACACAAGGACAGCAATGTCTCATGTGATACAGTTGGACAGAACCTCAAGAGGACATTTGCTCCCACCAAAGGGCATTCAGCAGAACAAGGACCAATCAGAATTCATTCGACAATCATGTTCAGTGTCGTCTGACACCGGCAGGTCACAGCTTACATGTGTGGTTGTGGCTCTCATGTGAGAATGAGATGGTCTGCAACTGTGGGTGAAGGAACCTTCCCGTTCTCAATCTCTTGTTTTTAAAAAATATTTCATTCCTTATTCATGCGCTTATTTATTTATCATTTTACTCTTTCGTTCATGAAAGTCTGCCAAATGCTATTCAGGGAACTAGGGAAAGACAACAAGCAAACCCCAATCCTTCTGGCAAGGTGTTACAGACAGCGGGCATCTGAAGAACAACAGAGAAATGGACAAGGAGGCAATAGAATGGCAGGGAGTGAGAAGTGCGATGCGGAAAGACAAAGAATGGTAAAGAGACAGGAGGTGGAAGAGACGGAAGGTGCCTTTTCAGATGAGATGCTTGCTGGAGGATGGCATCCCAAGCAGATGATGCTTGAGCAGTGGTCTGATTGAAGTGACTCACATGGAGATCTGGGACAAGGGGAGGTGGAGAGGGCTCCATCCTAAAGTGTCTAAGGGGAGGTTCTGGAGAAAACTTCTCTTTCAAGCACGTGCAGTTTGTTGGAATATTCAGAGCTTCTGATGGTAGGGGTGAAATCCCCATGTTCTTTTTGGCTCTGGTCCAGAGATGACTCTCAGGTCCTGCCCCGTGACCCATCTCAAAGCCAGTGCTGGAGCACTACCCTGCTGTCAGTCGCTCTCACGCTCTGAGTCTCTCTGACTTCTCCTTATGCTGACCTCAGAGGAAAACTCTACTTTTAACCGGCTCAAGTGATGAGATTCAGCCCACTCTAATTGACTCCATTTTGATGAGCACAAAGTCAACTGTTTAGTAATCTTAATGCCATCGGCAGAATTGCTTTTCTCATGTAACAATCACGGGCAGATGTGAAATCTCATTTTATTCACTGTCCCCAGGATTTGAGTGGGAGATTTGGGAGAACATTTTAGAATTCTACTGACCACGCCTCCTTTCAATTTAGTTCAGATTTGGTTCACCTGAATCTACAGAGGATTTTTTAGTTTTATTGTATTACTAGAATGTAACATATTTCACTGTAAGAAAACTCCGAACTAAACACAGAAGCATATTTAAATAGGTTAAAAGTCTGTCATTTCACCTTTTAGAGAAACAAACTCTGAGGGTTTCTGCTGTGATTTGCAGGCAGGGTGCTTTTGTCCCAATTGCTTTTTGTTTTTTGTTTTCTGCTGAGCCTGGTAGCAGATGAAATTTAAAATTTAAACTCTTTTCTACTCTGCAGAAAGTGGAGAGATTTGTTGACTACTCTGCTGCACTGCTTGATATCCTAAATCTAAAAGACAGCACAACAGGCATATTTAAATTATGCTACTTCATTCCGCCAGAAAATATTGTATTGGCAACATTATCCTACATTTCTAATAAATGTAGTTCTGCATTCCAGTAGTATACATAAAATATTTATTTAAGAATCGACTCCGAAAACTCTAATTTACTAATCAAGGTGATATACTGTAATTTCAAAGAATAGAAAACAAGGAGATTTAGTGGGTAAGTCATTGTGGTCTTTAAATATTTTAAAAGCAGAAAAAGGGAAATAAATTGTTTTGTGTGGGTCTAGTACGTAAATCTAGGACTGAATGGTAGAAGTTGCAAGGAGGGGTATTTCAGTGTACAAGAAGTTTTTTTCTTTTCTTAAAAATAAAATTAAAATAGAGCTCCCTGAGCTCTGAAATAAAATAAAATTAAACTAGAGCTCCCTGAGTTGGAGCAGACTGCTTAGGAAACCAGTTTCTCCTCAGTGGAAGTGTTTTGACAGGAAAATCTAAGGTCTGTGTCAGAAGTGTCATCCAGCAGGTTTCAGCCAAGCTTATCTGTAGAGTCAGACAGTAAGTCTTCTTGGCTTTTGAGGCCATGCTGCCTCTGTAGCAACTTCCTAACTCTGCCATGTGAGGTGAAAGCAGGCAGAGACAGTAAGTGAATGAATGGCCATGGCTGTTTTTCAATAAAACTTTATTTACAAAAACAGGTGCAAAGCCGAATGTGGTCTGTGAACTGTGGTTTGTCAAGTCTGATATACTGCATTTCCTGAATTGGGTGGGAATAGGACCTAAACAACCCAGTCCCCTCCAAATCTAAGATTTCAGTGTTATGTGATTCTTTGGTAGGGTGTAGGAAACATAGATATTATTTGCTAAATATCCCTCTAGGAGCAGCTATCCATACCCATCCATTATTGACTGTGCCTCCAAGCAACTCTAATAAAAAAAGTTCAGTTAGAAGAGATGCCAATTGCGTGCCACCAAATAACTGGGAATGTTATGAGCATTTTTAAAAATGGAAACTTGTGCATAAACTGTGTGACCCTAAAATGAGATTAAGGTCCTTTTG